TTTAAAAAAAAAAAAAAGTAAACTGGCATGTATCATTTGCCCCATATTTATCCTTCCTCCACCTTGTTGCCTGGAATGCAGCTGTGATGGCTGGAATTCTGGCTGCCATATTGGACCATGAGGACAAGATGATGGAGCAGTGAGTTGGAAGGAACCTAGGTCACTGAGGATTGCATAAAACCTTCATACTGACTTTGCACTGCCTGCCTCAGGACTTTTATGAGAGCAATAGACCTTTTGCTTTTGTTAAGTGGAGTCTTTATTATTCAAAGCAAAGCCTGATCCTAGCTGAGATAGATCAAAGGATAGACAGACAAATGAAGATAGAACATTCCTGCAGCTAGAGAGGATATCAATATCTCACTGCTGGGTGGCATTGGGAAGGGGCCTGGACATACCACGGAAAACCTTGACCTTGGGAAATCTTCCCCTGGAAGCCTTGTTCTGGGAATAAGGGAACATTTCATACTTTTCTCCAAGGGTGGGTGGGCCTGAATGGACAGACTAGGCTAAGCTGTGCTGAGTGTCGACAGTCATTCTACCTGCCCAAGCCTGGAGTAGGGAAACAAAGGGTGCCTCTGGAAGTTGAAAGGTCCAAGAGGGAGCAAGGAGAGGACTCCCCATCTGCTCAGCTGGGGCTTACTTAGACTAAGGTGCTAAGAGGCTGCTTGGTGTGGTGGGCTGAAAGTATGTTCGGTGTCTGCCTGGGGCAACTTTGGTGGGTTCCAGGGAAAGGGAGGACGAAATAGGGCCCATCTTTAATCCATGAGGGGACTCTGGGCAACATACACTCCTTCAACACCTTGATCCATCTAGCATGGTGTCATGACACCAGCTCGGGATTTGACCAAAATGCACATCTTGGTTCTGTCACCTTCCAGCTTCATGACTTTGGCCAAGTATCTGAAACCTGCTGCATACCTCTCTCCATCCCCAGAGAACTCTCAGAGCAGTTGTGAGGAGTGACATAATGTTGATGGAAGTGCTCTGTGAACCCAAATGCCCTGCCCAACGCCTTGCTGACCGCCGACCACGTGCCATATGTTTGACGTGTATCATTTTACTCCCCACAGCAACCCTTCCAGGTAGATATGACTATGTTCAGTTTCCAGATGAAGACACTGAGGCCTGAATGTCTAAAATTGATCTTGACCTCTTGCCCAAGGTCAACAGCTGGAAAGCAGATTCAAACTTAAATTTCCAGTTTCCCCCATCACCCATGCCTGATAGGACCCTGTTGCTAGACCTCGTCCCTTCAGGGTCAAGTCTCAGGTCCCTGGCATGGGTCACACTGGGTCCTCCAGACCTCCTGCCTCCTGTCCCCCAGGCGGATCTCCCTCAGCCCGCCTCTGGCCAGCTCCCACAGGATAAAATGTGCCTCATCCTGTCCTTTCCCAATCCAGACCTCACCCATCTGTTGTGGGCGATGCCTATGCCATGTCCACCCTTTCCAGACCTGGGGTCCTGCATTCCGCCCATGTTGGCCCAACGTGAATCCATCCTGGGACATTCTTCTGACCTACTGAGATAACATATTCTCTATTGATACTGGGGTTTCGCAGCTTAAGTGTGTAAGTTGGGAGCTGTTACCCCTAGGAAGAGTATGCTGTGACAGCCCAGAGAAGGACCTTCCTGACACCACTGCATGAACACCTGGATGGCCCAGTCACTTCTTTTTCCTGTTGTTCCAATAGATTTGAGTTGAGTTTCTTCCACTTGCCATTGAAAGAATCTGCATTCTTCCAGCCCATCTCTAGAGCCCTGTCCTGCAGAAAGCTTTCCCATGGCCCCTCCAGCCCTTATAAACCTCACATGTCCCCATTCTTTGTGCTCTAATTGTTTCTCACCATTTCTTCCCAACATTCTAGGTTCTTGAGGGCAGAGACCCTAGAGTAGCTGGTAGCATCAGACCCAACGCACAGATTATGACTCTAGAGCAGCATGCCTGAGCTCCCTTCCCCACCTGGACCCTCTCCCCACTGGCCCATCAGAGTGGAGGGCGCTGGATGGGAGACAGGGTGCAGGGCTTGGGTTTGGGTGCTGCTATTTACTAGGTGTGACCACCAGAGTCTCAGGCCCCCTCTGGGCTTCCCTCATCTCCTCCAGTGAAATGGAAATAATACTTGCCCTGCTGACCTTGCAGGTAGGGGGTTGTGATGAGTGAAGGTCAATGGGGAAAGGAAGTGGAGGTACTTTGGAAAGGGGAGTCTCTCTTTGTCAGATACTTGCTTTCTTTATGCCCCCATCTCCCTATCCTTCTAGGAGCTGCAGCCTGGGGGAGGTGCCAGGGAGGAGGCTGGGACCCACGCCAGGCACAGAAAGACGGGCTGCCTGTTGGTTCTTGCCCCCTGCCCTCTGTCCCAGGCTCTGGGTGTGAGAAGGTGGGAACAGCTGCGGGGAGGGCTCCCCTGCTGATGTGTGGCGAGCCTGGGGCTGATCACCCAGATGAGACCACATAGGCAGGATGGTAGGAAGGCTGGTTTGTGGGACTCAGAG